CGGGCCGTCTTATACGCCGGAAAATACAGTAATTTAGATAGTTGCTGCCATTTTGGACTCATAGAATAAGTCATATTAAATAGGTAACATCTTATTGTCATGATTACATAGAGCTTTACACAATGCTTTACCAGGCAGCCTCTTGTAGTTTTGAATTTTGTGAACTGTGCAGAAAGCTTTGGTCACTGGTATAATACAGAAATATAAGAAAATAAAGATATAAATAAATAAATAAATAAATAAATTCTAACTCAGTTTCTGACAACATTTTGACCAATAAATGATAGTTGGTATTCTTTTAACAATCCAATACAGGTGGCACAAAAATCAGTGTTCAAGGCGCTATCTGAAACAACAATTACTGAAGCTAAGCAGATCTGGATTTCTTCAATGCATGACAGGCGACTGCTTCAGCACCCTATGTAGATAGATTATCTTGAGATTTGGAGAAGCAAAACAAAATATAAAGGCAAATATCAATCAAAACAAATAAGGATCTAGAAACAAAAACTTGATGAACAAATATGGTACAGAAAATGAAGGAAAGTCATCCATGTCCAGGTTAGCGTATCTCACAGGGTTACCAAAGGAAAAATAACTACAAAGTTATGCCTATTACATATGCCTTTCTCTCTGCATATGGTGAAGTATTAGGAATAGTAAATTATTTTAATACTAATATATTTATAAATAATAAATTATTTTTTTTTTCATTCTTTTGTGCAAAGACAGTCTATTGATTACTTTGGCATTAAGATGTATTTGCTTTTCATTCTTCAAATAATAATAAAACTTATAAGAAATCATTCAACTAACTATTTGAAATAGCTCTAAGCCCCTTCCAATTTTTGTTTACATTTTTTTCTGTCCCTACAATCTTGTTCACGCATTATTTTACACACACAACATGCTCTTCACAAAAGTGTCCTCAAGTGAGAATATAAGATGAAATAATGGGGTAAGGAAAGACAAGGAAAAAACATTTAAAAGATCCTACTTCATTACAGCTAATTCTTATGGGGACATAACATTTAAAAGTTAAACCACCAGAAGATAATTCACCGGACACAAATAATATAGCCTCTACACACATTTCAACAAAATGCATCTCGACATCCATATTTTCGAGGGTCAGATTATCTCAGAAGAGAATATAAAGATTCTCTTCACTTCTTCCAATGAATTTCATTTTAATACAGGAGACTTAAGAACCAATAAAAAAGGCAATTTAACAATATCTCTAGTGTGCCACCAACCACTATAAAGGCCTGGAGGCTCCTACATACCCACTATAGCACAATAGGTTTGCCACCCTGCTGGTTTTCAATTGACACCCTTCTCCCCCCTCCATGTTATTATTTTTTTTCAAAGTTAGGCCTAATACTGGTCTCTAATATTTCTGTTTCATTCAAAGCTGATGGCATTTTCTGCTGTTAAGCTGTCTCACAGTGACACATCTGAGAAACAGACACAGAAGAGAAGATGCTGGTTCACCATCACTAAAACACTGGCTGAACTATGATTTGAAATAGATCATTAACAACAATAGGAGCCAAGATGGAAGGTGATAAGCTTGAGACATTTTCAGTGTCTGCTAACATGTGGGCCATATCACAGAAACTCATTCTGAGTATAGTAATATGCTGTTATCTTACGTCAATCTGAGAAAACATTGTTCATTGGTACCATAAGGTAAGGTGTGATCTGTGAGCAAGAGGTACATTTGAAAAGCACGGTGGACAGGATTCTTCACTTAATATTCACTTTCCTGATGATTTCAATTTAATAGTCATAAAATAATTACCATGTTTAAATGCTTACCTCTCAAATATGTATCTACTTGTGCCTACTTTGCACATAAGTGTAGCCAGCTTCAATAATGTCCTTTTAAATGGATAACAGTTAAATTAATATATCTGCTAAAGGAATCAATTTTTGTGCACTCCAAGGTTATGTGTTTAACAGACTTCGATAATTCAATGAAAAATTGAGCTGGTAATGATTTGCAGGCTAAATGAATGTTAAATACTTCAAAGGACTGTACAAACAAGTCAGCAGCAACATTTTTATGGGTTCACTTCCTTCATGGGAACTTAAAGAACCACTCTTTTTATTGCTGAGAATTCTAGACACCTTTTCTACCCCTCAGCATCTGTTTGAAATATGGAGCAGACAATTGCTTTTTTGGCTCTGACTCAGGTGGTTGAAATACAGGACAAACAGACTACTGTATATAAGCTTTCCTCCAGCAATGAAATTTTTTATTAACTCTCTTGCATAGCAAACTCTGCTGCCTAGCTTCCAATCCCTACAGAATCATCAAGGAATGTGGCTAGTTATTAATTCTGGTGGTCAAGTACAGGGTGAATATGTTGAGACTTGTCTGCAACATGTAACCTCACATTTCAAAGAGCTACAGAGGAAAAGGGAAAAAAAATAAATGAATTCTGTTTAGGTCATTATTCACATGTACAGAATTCAAAACTAAATACAGTCTACATACATAAATATGTCAGTCTTCTTAAGAACCTCTAGCCACAGAAAACAAATTCCATAGAAGAGGGGTACCGAATTGTCCATCAAACTTGCTAACTTACCTAACTCACCTTCAAACTGTTCACAGACTGGAATAGCATTTTAAGAAAGATGGAACTTGATAACAGTCCTATTATCTACCCTATTAAAAATGGGGCATGGGAGGAGGAGACAACAAGGCTACAAAATAAGATGAAGATTTGAAACATATTAGAAAGAGATGTTTTATATGAAAAAGTATGGGCAAACTTAGTAACTCGCAGTCTACCTTCTGTCAACCTTAATGGAAAATTTGTTTTTATTAATGGAGCACCAATATGACCACTCTACTTTTTCTTTCAGACTTTCTGATCACAATTTATGGAAATATTCATAGACAATTTATAGGATTGTAGTTTCCTGCAGAGAGCCAACATGGTGTCATGGTTTGAACATTAGATGATGACTGGAGACCAGAGTTCAATTCCCAACTCAGCCATGAAAGCCACTGGGTGACATTGAGTAGCCACTGGGTGACATTGGGTAACTCTCTCTGTCTTATGGGAAGGCAAGGGCATGAACAAATCTTGCCAAGAAAACCCCATGATAGTTTTGCCTTGGGATCACCATAAGTTGGAAACAACCTAAAGGCACACAATGACAAAGTTTCCCTCAATAAACAAAATAAGCTAATAATATATGAATTCCTCTGTCACAGTGGGTGGCCAGTTATAGAAGAGAACAGGACTCCTGCACCTTGAATACTTTTATTTATTTATTTATTTTAAGAAGAGCTCACCAGGTACAGGTTGTCATGATATGGCTTTCTTTTAAACTGTTGTTGTTGTACATCTTCAGGTTATTTATGGCAACCTGAAAATGAACCTATCATGGAGATTTATTCAGTCTTCCTGTCAAGTTAAGAGAATGTGGCTTGCCCAGGGTCACCCAGTGGTGGGTTTCCATGGTTGAGTGGGGATTTAAACCCTTGTCTTCAGAGTTGTAGTCTAATGCTCAAACCACTATGCCACACTGGCTCCTTTTAAAGAATTACTAAATGCAAATTAGCTGCCTTACAATAGGAACATCTATCTGAGAAGGGGATATAAACTATTTGATTGAGGTGGATGGCCTACTGTCAGTGGGATCATCACCAAGCAGGGGTATCTGGGGGTTAACTCTTGGGAACAGCTACTTTTGAGGGTAGAATGAAGGCCAGCCTTCCTGCTCAGGAGAGAAGGTGCATGATATTTTACATATATAAAGGAGTAGCCTTTGCAACATCCTGTAAGATGTTTTCTACAGAGAACAGGAGAGGTGAAGTGAAGGAGGAAGCAATAACTGAAATGACAATGGGCAGAAGGAGGTAAGTGTTTGGAAGACCATGTTATCACCATGGAAGAGACACAAGAGTGATGGTTGCCCCATACTTTCCTCTACTTGAAGCCTTGGCAATAGCCCCCATCCCCACCCCTACTGTTCAATGCCATGGCAGTAACTGGAAAAGCAGCCACAATTCAGAACATGATATTTTTTAGCAGGCCAACCTGGCTTGTATTACAGAGACCTGGCTAGATGAACTAGCAGGGGACCTCTCTCAACTCTCTTTGCCTTGAAGCATTAAGCAAGACCTGGGAGCAAGGGAGGTCCACCTTCCCACAAGATGCCTTATCTTACAGTATGCTGGATATGAGCATTTGAAGATGATCACGTGACCAGGACAGTATAAGCAGTCTGATCCTTCCTGCTGCTCAATCTTCTCCTTTCCTGATCTGGCCGAGTTTGTCTCAGTGGTGGTGTTGAGTCTCTCTAGCTTATTGTGTTAGAGGACTTGAACATCCAAACTAAGGCCACTCTGCCAGGAACAGCTTGGAACTTCATGGCTTCCATAAAGACCATGGACCAATCCCACATAATATTTGGTGACACTCTGGGACAAACATTCTGAAGTTGGCAGGATAATAGTGACCTAGCAGTTCCATTGTAAGGAACAGTCCAATTCTGAAGGGAAGTGGACCAATTGCTATGGTCTGCTACCAGAAGCTAACAGATCCATCACCACATGTATACTGGACTCATGTCCCTCCTGTCTTGTTAAAGCAGCCACATAGGGACTGGCCATCTGGGAAAGGGTGGTGGTGAGTGCCTCACCTCAACAAGACAGGTGCATGTCCTGCCTAAAAGAGGCTGAGATGAAGCTATTACACATGAACTTCATTCTCTTCAAAGTTGATCCTTGGCACAACTATTTAACAACTAACTGAATATTCCTGGAATCATGAATTGGAGAGCTGAACAACGAAGATTACAAGATGAGCCATGACACTCTCTGGTAACACCATTCTTAAAAAGTTAGAATGGAATAGAGATATGAAGGATATTTGTAAGTTTTCTCATTTTCAATATCAAAAGAGTGTCTCAGCACATTAAGACATTACCCCAAATAAATGGCCACAGAATTCTTCACACTTCACTTTTTTCTTGTAAAATGTGTAGACACAAAAAACAACTACAGAGTACCAAGGTACCAACACTCAGGAGTATTAGGTGTTAAACAGAGTTTAGATGGATACATTTCAGAGTTGCTTGAGCTGGGAGTTGGACTAGATGATCCTTTGGTTCCCTTTCAACTTTTACGATTCTATTGATGTCCAGGATGAACATGAAATATTATGTTTTGGGTACCTTTCTCAAAGCATTATTCTAGGACAGACCAAGGGGCCACAGAGAACTATGCTGTAATCATATAACCACTTAGATGGAAATAAATTCTTCAGATCAAAATGGGCTTTATTTTCATGTATCGATGCTGAGCTATGTAAAGCACTAAACCCACCCTTCAAATGAAATTTCACTTCATCTTTGGAAGATGCCACACAACAAGCTTCAAATAGGCCACAAAATGAAATCATTCCTTAGCAGCAACCACAGTATACACAAGCCCATGAAACTGTGATGAAAATTTAGGCGTGGATCCTTCCTTTCTCAGTCTATTTTAATTAGGAAAATATTTTTGCATCTTTTTATAAGTTTCTACTGAGGAATATTTTGTAAAAACCAAAGGGTGAGCCTACCTACAGTGCAGACTTGCCTTGCCAAAAGCCAATTATGTTAACAGAAATAAAACTAAACAAACAAAATCTCTCAGTGTCTCTTAACTTTTGGACTGGTTTCCTCCTGAATAACAAAACCTGCTGAATACTATGTTTATGCACACAGGACAGTACATGAATGTATGATTCGTTTCTCCAGTCTTAAATCAGATAATATTATCTGTGCTGCATTCTAAACCATGCCTTTCCATGTTACAATAGGTAAGCGAAACATTGATAACTATTATACCACAATTATTGGGGGGGGGGGGGGGGGGGTGTTATAGCAAAAAGATGTAATTAATATATCTAATAATTCTACAAAGACAAAAAAACTTCTTGAAAATTTTACAGAACCTCATATTTGATAAAGGCACAGTCATGCTCAATATATAAAGTGCCTTTGGATAATCAGATTGCTTCCAATGGAAATTAGGAAAGGAAGGATTTCTAATCCTTATCATGGGCCATTTTCTGGTAAAGGCAGCTCTGTCTTGTCCTGGAACACTTGCACTCGGGCTACCAGCTGTATGGGATGGCTAATTCACACTGGCCCTACAATTATTATGGCCGCCATACAAACAAGTAGGATCAGAGTAAGGAGAAGAGTAGACTGAGGGCATGGGTATACAACAGATATTGCATGTGTACTAGATGCACATGCAATCCTGACCCAGTGGACAGAGTCTACAATATATTACAGACTATACCAATCCTGAAGGACCTGGCAGAATCAAACTTCTAAGAAGTCATATTTCACGGAGATACCAGATTGTTGGTTTAAGTGTCTAAATGTCAACAGTCCAAGGCAGCAGGACTCAGTTTACAGAGATGGCAGTCAAATATCAAAAAGATCAGAGACCAACCAATGAAGCCAGGTGGTTACTCAAGTTCGAAAAGGCAGGGAAAAGGGAAAGAAGAAGTAAGGAAGGATCAGTATCAGGGATTTGTAGATACTCTGGGTGATGGGAAACCAAGGTTGATATAGCTGCTATCTAAGGCTAAGAAGCTTTCTAATCACCTGATTCATCCAGCACAGCAGAAAAGATCAGGCCAAAAGGATCAACCCCTTGCCTGTAAGTTGATCAGCAGTGCAAAGAGAAAGGCATTGGGATACAGCTAACAGAAATCCTGGTTTGAAATTCCTGGTGACTTATATCAGAGCAGCAATTCTCTGAGGGAGAGTTTATTTTCAGAGCTTGTTGTTGTTGTTTTTAAGGAAATTGTTATAGTAATATCAGGCTCCCAAATAGAACTACAATTCTCAGGATTCCTAGACAGAGGCTATACATTGGGTTGCAGATACACTGTCAAATTGAGGCAAGCCCTACCATTAGGCAGAGGGAAGACAGATTTGGACAGTCCCAAAAGAATCCAAAATGATTAGGTATTTTATTTCATATTATTGTGTTTTTATTCTCAGATACAGTTGTGGATTTTTAAAACTTCGATGTGAGTACAAAAATGAACAAGTATCTACTCTTGGGTACTACACCTCCTTCCATACAACCCACCCCACATACTCAGGTCCTCTGGGAGGAATCTGCTGCAGCCTATAAAAACTAGGCTGTCGGCAAACGCCCAGAGGGCCTTTTCAGCAACTGCTCCCAGATTATGGAAGAGATCCATCTTATTACCACCTTAAACAGCTTTAAAAAGGCTGTTAAGATGGATCTTTTCCGGCCGCAAGAGTTACCCATCTCTCTCTCCCTAATTTTGCCGTAGCTGTTGTTATTGTTGTATGGTGTTTGATATATTTTAAGTAGGTTTTTAAATCTTTCTATTGTTTAATATTATTTTAAGGGGTGGGTGGGTTTGCGGGAATTGTATTACATTTTTATTGTGTTATTGTGCTTTTAATGCTGTAAGCTGCCCCAGTTGCGTCTGCAGAGGGGAGAGATAAAAATAAATTATTATTATTATTATTATTATTATTATTATTATTATTATTATTATTATTATGCATTGGAGGGGAGGGTGTTACATGAAGGGTGAGGGTGTGGATACCATTTCATGTTCTGCCTAAGCAGCACAATGTCTTGAGTTGGCTTAATATCACCTAGTCAGGTGAATGCGGTGGTCAGGAGCGCCTATTATCAGCTTTGGCTGATACGCCAACTGCGTCCTTATCTGGATATGAGGCACTTGGAAACTGTGGTACATGCTCTGGTAACCTCACGTCTGGATTACTGCAATGCACTCTACATGCGGCTATCCTTGTGACTAACCCGGAAACTTCAATTGGTGCAAAACATGGCAGCCAGGTTAATCACAAGAACATCTAGGAAGGAGCACATAACACCTGTGCTTAAATCCCTCCACTGGCTGCCAATTAATTTCCAGGCACAGTACAAGGTGTTGGTTTTGACCTTCAAAGCCCTACATGGCTTCGGTCCATCTTATCTTAGGGACCACCTTTCCCCGTATGACCCTCCCCTTGTGCCCTTCAGTCCTCTGGGAGGAACCTGCTACAGCCACTGAAAACTAGGCTGTCCCAGACCTCCCAGAGGGCCTTTTCCGCAACCGCTCCCAGACTCTGGAATGGCCTGCCGGACGAGATCCGTCTTATCACCACACTTGCTGCTTTTAAGAAAGCAGTAAAGACGGATCTCTTTCGGCAGGCCTTCCCGGAATAACTGTCAGCTGAGGGTTGAGGGTCTAATCTGTTATTTCCGATTCCTATGTTATTGAGGATGTTTTTAATTTATTTTAAGGTTGTATTTTTAATTGGTCTTTAGTTTAATTCTGTTTTAAGGGGATGAGAGGGTGAGATTTTGGGATGAGGGAATGTTTTTAATTCTGTTCTGTTTTAAAAATTACTGTACCCCGCACCGATTGCCGCAAAAAGGGGTGGGCTATAAATAAAAATTTATCATCATCATCATCATCATCATCATCATCATCATCATCAAATAATTACAACTCGAGGCTATTAGAACCAAAAT